CTCCCAGCTGCGGTGGGTGCCAGTGCTGTGGATGGTGCCAGCCCGTGCCAGTGATGCCAGGCACTCCCACTCACTTGCTTGTGGAGACCAAGGGTGTCAATCTCGGAGAGCACCCAGCCCACACTGCCATCCCCCCCGCACACTAGGATCCGGAAGGTGGAGAACTTCTGGAAGAGGCGCAGCCTGGAGGGGGACAGGAGACACGGGCTGGGGGCTGTGCCGGGCACCCACCGGGACCCCGCCAGGGCCAGCCCAGGGCACCCAGGCCAGTGCTTACCCCAGGTGTGGGCCCCCATTCATGAGGTCAAAGACTTGGGCCGGGTTGAGGAACTGCTTGAACTTGCGCAGAAACTTGACGCCCTGGTTGTCCCCGCTCTTGGAGTTGACAAAGGCCAGGCGAGGGCTGGAGCAGGTCGAGGGGCAGGTGGCCTGCCAGAAGCCTGGGGTGAGCCCAAGCACATGAGCCCCCAGCCCCAGCTTCCACCCCCCAAGGACACTGATGGAGACACCTTAGGAGAGCAGAGGCCACGTGGATACCCTGACAGTGCTGTGCTCGACCCGCAGGGTGCTGGGGCCAGGCAGGAGGGACAGTGATCCGGGTGCCCAGGGGATGGTGAGCAGTGGGAGGAAGAGTAAGAGATGGCAGTGGGGATGGGGATGGGGATAGCGATGGGCAAGGGTAGCAGTAGGGCAGATCCAAGTTAGGTTCCAGCTCCATCAGTGTCCCTGCAGGCACGAAGTGTGTCACCAAGCTGACTTGTATCCCTGGCCCGCCACTCCAAAAGGAGCAGCAGTGGTGGGCACACAGGAGGGGCCGTTCCTCGCTTCCTCGCTGTGCCAACAGCCCAGCTGGGTCTGACCCAGCAAAACCACATGGGAAGGGGGCACACTCCCACCTGGGGGTGCTTCCAGGGGTAGCACTGGCAGCCAGCAAGACCACAGGGGACCAGCCGCAGCCCCAGGGGGCTGTACTGTCACCCTCAACTCTGCTGCCTGCTCCTACCAGAGCTCTGGCGGGATAGGTGTGAATGACGCAGAAGCCTCGGGAGGCTTGGCAGCCAGCACCATGCTTTTAAAGAAATGAGATGGGGAATAAAATGTGCCCGAGGCAGAGGAGGATTGATAGCTGGCCCACAGCCCGCACCTGCCTCAGGCACATCTTGGCCATCCCAGGCCATGGGCCAGTGCCCACTGGCTCCTTCCCTTGGCAGACCCGGCAATGCTGCGGCAGGGGGAG